AAAAGGAAACCCCAAGCCAAAAAATCAAGAGTTGGCTAAGTGACCGCTCGGGGTTTGCTAAGTGACCTGAAACATGATACGCTCTCCGATTGGCCAAGTGACCGTGTTCGGGGTTGTTTAAGTGACCCGGGCTCCTTACATATTTTCTGTTTGGTGATATGTCAGATCGCAGCTGCATTCCTCTTGCCTGCAGCAATGGCAATGTCTAGGTTGCAGCGTCTATGCAGAGTTTGTTTTTTTCTCGGAGTGTCTGATGACCTAAAGAGTTTCATCATCATTCGCATAACCTTCGCAACCCAACACTCCGACGTCTTGGGTTCTCGTAGACGAGCAATTTGCGGACAGGGTGTGTTGGCGAGCTTGGTGGCCGGAACATGCCTCGCGGCAGGAGTGGGAAAGCGATGGTCAGATAGGGTTGTCGAGCTCCTGTGGGCTGGTGAGGATTGAAGCAGTTCGGCGGTCTTTTCAGACGCCACTGCAACACCACGTTTAGGCGCTGCATCACTCAAGATCACAGGATTAAGTCAGACTTTCGATTTGAGGTTCCTCACGCGACCGCATGTGACGCATGTGTTCCGAGGCTACGGCCTCAACTTCCTGCCGTCCACATGGATCCAGTCACTTGTACTTGTACAGGTTTGAATATGTTCTGGTCTGCTATTCTGGACTGTGTGCTTGGAAGTAAAAGCCATCAAGGTTGCGTGAATCACCAGCAGATTTCGCGGCAGTGTCAGGAACCATGTTTCTGGAGCATCCCAAGACGGACTGGACTATGCAAGGGACTCAGTTGCAGGAGGCAGCGGCAGCAACAGCATTGCCTGCTCGGCACAATCGACGATCCTAGCTTGCATCCAGTTTTCATGCTGACCGAAAAGCCATCTCTGAGAGTATCCTGAAGAGTCGGCATGCACAGCCGTCGCAAGATATCGCAAGCGCATTGCTGGCTGCATGCTTATGTTGTGAACCAGAGTCTGAGGTTTTCAACCAGACCGGTCCTCAGTGTAATTTGCGACCTTTCCTTTGAATGCCAGACATGCATGCCGGATTTGGGATTCCAGTCGTCCGCTCAAGGCTTTTTCAAACAACCTGAGAGCGCTCCGGAGCTCTGATTTTTTTGCCAGTACCCCCCACATAAGTTAATGCCGAACAGGCCTCAACGGCCTAATCCCCCATCCCCTTCCGGCATCTTTGCCTCAAGGTTTTGCGGCATCATGGCTGCCTCCATAGTGCATCCCGACGCTTGAGATAAACAGTAGAGGCTTGTTCTGCATGGTCTGAAGATGTTGCACTCCTGGCACACCCACGTGCAGACTGAAAGTTCTACCAGCTTGCGACTTCGGTGTAAGGTCTTCATGGCTCAGGCTAGCGAAGGAGGTCGTTTCCCTTTTGCCTGCAGTACGAGGTACTTCCTGATCTACTGCGGCTGGAAGAACAACCGTCCGCAGGTCAACCCCGAGATCATGCTTCCCGGGTTCATTTCGGGAGCCTTGGAGAACGACATTGGTAGCGTTGTATGCGCTAAGTTTGTGCAAGCACGGCTGTCCGAGCCAGTCCTTTGGTGTTGATCCATGTCACCTAGATTCCTTGATGAGACGGTTGGTGAGCCTTCTTGGCATTTGTTTGTTCCCTTCACACAATGTCGGAGTATGTCAGGATGGGACGTGAATCCCGTGCGAGCGCAAGTCAGCATCGATTGCGCTGCTCAGGAGTCATGTGGGCCATAGCACAATCCTGCTGGTTCGTTGCAAATGCATCTGGGCGGCACAGAGTCCACTGAAAAAAATCCCGAAACCGGGATTGACCCGAACATGACCTTTCAAACAAGGCCTAGATCCGGAAGAGGGCCACAGCCTAACCCAGCCTTGAAGGTTGACCTTGGGTATGCAGCGGCTTTCCCCATCATATTGATCGGCCCTGGCTTGGTTGGATCCTTATGGTCGGTGTTCCTCTTCAAGGCCTCGCTGCACAGCACCCGGGGTTTTGGGACTGGATGAGTCAAGCCTTGAAGAGCTTGCACCGGCAGCCTTCAGTCTAGTGCATCGTGAAGAAGCAAGTAATAGCGGGCAAGGCACTGCAATACTGGCACGCAGGACATTTGTGGACTTCCGCGTCTTTGCTGAACAGTTGTGACTGGCTCTCTTGCCCGGAGCCTTTCCTTCTCCTTGCAGTGGCTTAACTTGGTGACTCCATCGACACAGCCAACCAAAAACCTCTGGACCGAAACTCCCGAAAGCTTGTGACATTGAGGAATCATCTTCTTCTCGCGGGCTACTTTGTCCTGGCGGCAGCTTCCTGTGCCTGCATCGTCGCCTCGCGGAAGAGTGGCGGCACTACGGCAGAAAAGAGTTTGGGCATTCATTTTGCCTTGCACGCTTTGGGCTTCTGTCGACCGCATGCTGTCGAGGCACATGCGGATGACCAGCGGAGTCTATGATTTATTGGCAGCTGTTCCAGGAGGCAAGCAAGCGATCGAAGCTCGTTTTGCATCTAGACTGTATGCTCGTGGAGGAATCCTTTTCTTGGATGTTGTCTGCATCCGGTCTGAGATATTTTCAGTATGGGACCAGGCAGCGGCAGAAGCCGATTTGCGTCAAATTGCGCAAGTAAAGATCGCGAAGAGTGTAAAGGGAGTGGAGACACAGACAGCGCATCGGGCAGCTGCAGCCACAGCCAATCTGCTCTGTTTGGAGGCATCCAGATGTGCTGGAAGTGCGGCCTGAGCAGCCTCGTCATAAGTCCACCAGGTTTGAAGTCACGCAGGAATTTGCGCTTGGTCGTCCTGATGCCTGTGTTTGACTGCATGTCCTTGCCGGCATGCGGAGAAGGAAGGCGTTTGATCTCCGCCAGTCGATCCATGTACTCTGCCCAAATGGGTGCTACATTTGGATCATCGGGGCCATGTGCAGAGTTTCAGCGTCGCAGGGAGAAAGTCGAGAACACACGAGACACGAACAGAGTCAGTTCCCAGCTGCAGCATGTCCAGGTTTTGGGGATGTCTTTGGCAGCTTGTCCTTGGCAGGTGGTCCTCGTCATGACAGGAGGTGGCGGCCAGGACGTGCCGGGGGCTTGCAGAAATCGAAGCGAACTTAAGCGCCATCATTCCCGCACTCTCCAACAAGACACAAACCTTTGCACATGCCTCGGGGTGCAACGACGAGCCGGGCGACCATTCCAAAGCAAGGCCGTGGCCAGAACAGCTGGCGATGGAAGGCACCTGCCGGGGACAGGGCTTTGCGCTTTTATGCTAGATGGCACTTCGACCGTCCTGAGTCCGAAGCTGGAAGTTTCGAGTTTCAGATAAAGGACAAGGGATGCGAGGGCTGCAGGGGTCAAGACTTTCCAATCATTGAACCCGAGCCTGACGCTTCGCATTCGAGCAAGAAAGCTTCTGCGTGACGAAGAGTTGAATCGTCGAAAAACCACGAGCATTGGGCCCTTCAAGCAACCACACCACAACAGCACAGCCAAAGCTTCATCACCAGGCTCTTGAACCTTCCTTCACCCTTGAGATCGTTCTACTGTTAGCATGTTTGCCATTCGTAGAATCCTTAAACTCCATGAGAACCCACAACTCCTGAAGACTGAATCCCAAATCCTGAACTCCTGTACTTCAACTTTCGACGATGATTCCAGAAAATCTGAAGTGCCGCCTCCATCTCGAGAACGAAACCAAGAGCAAGACCTGAAAAAAAAGAGTGCAAATGCGGGCATGTAGCCATAAGGCCCTGCGTCGATGTTTTGCAGGTATTGGCCGGCCGCTGCATGTGCTGGTTGTCACTGGCAGGCCGAGAAGGGAAGCGAAGATGTGACGCCGTGCAGCCTGCATAACCCGCGGTCTTCCACATCACATTGCAAGTGGGTTGCCAGGAACGAGGAGTTCAAGACTCGCCTAGAGCATGCTCTCACGAATTCTGCCGAGTTCAATGATGGCCGTGTCGTGCGCCGTGTGTGGAACATGCCAGGGCAGTAAGTAAAATGTCGTGGCATGTCATGCCACTCAGAATGACAGTTGGTTTGATCGACGTTGTTCGGAGTGAAGCCCACTGGCTGGGACAAAATTCAGATGAAGGGCCATTCCACGGTACGTTTCCGAGCCGGCAAAAGCCGAGATAGACCAGCCCTCCCAGGTCAGGGCTGTACTCGGAGGGCAGCGGTCATCTCGGGGAGCACGGACTGGCAATGCTTGTGCACAGAGGCAAGGGAGCTGTCGTTATCGGTGCACGGTTGTGCGACCATCTGCTCCGAGCAGACGCTCGAGGGCTCGTGTGCGGCTCGGGGACGCGCTCGAAGGAAGGAATCATGAATGGAGACGGTGGAAGAAGACCAGAGTGAGGGAGACTAGCCTATTCAATGACGGATCTGTACCAGTACCACCCTGTCGCTCAAGGAATCATGATCAGCTGTTCAAGAGAGTGAGTGATGGCGAGTTCTTTGAAGCGAAGGAGGCACTTTCAAAGATGACAGAACATCCTCTTTTTCATTGCAGTGCCACGGCGAGTTTTGGCCAGTCGCTGCGTCCGGATGGGCGAAGGTCTTGCGGAGGTGGTCCTCAACTTGCAGACGCTGCGGTTCTACGCACCGGAACGTCGCATTTGTTTGCTGAATCTCGGATTCGAAGCCCACTTGGATATGGTAAATGTTCTCGCCGAAAATGGAGCATCATTTCAAGCAAAGTCGCAAACAAAGCAAGCAACCCCCTGCCCTGCAAGTTACGAAAAGCAATGCCGCACACTTGCTGTCTTGCCTCAGCAAGGAGCTGCTTGGCAGCCTGGGGTTGGCACACGAAGGCGGAGCACAGTCGTAGCAGGACAGCGTGGTTGCAGAAAATGTACAACTTTGGGTTTGCCAGTCCGGACTGCGGCCGTCGGAACGAGAATTCGCTGTGGATCAGGCAAGCACAGTGGCACGAATACCTTGCCACACAAGAAGCTGCAAATCTGGTGGGTGTGAAACTGACGTTAGGCACACTTCGACAGCCGGAGGCCTCACCATCGGGCATTGCAAGATCGAACACCTGCAGCAACTTCTGCTTGAAGCCACAGAAATGTAAGAAATGATTGGGATGCTCGCTCTCCAGAACGAACCTCACACGGCAGACTTCAAGGTCTATGCCTGCTTTTGCCCGATCCAAGTTCCGATGCACCTGCGGTGCTTGCTCCAAGATCAAGTGCTTCCAGTGTGGCGCAATTTCACTCGACCATTGTGACCGTTTGTCTGATATAGTTGTGGTCCAGCACGATCTGCTCATGTTTCGTCACAGACACCTCATTTGCGGGCGTTTTTCACAAAGGTTCGTGATTTTTGGAGTAGTCTTTGCGACGGGCCGCATGCTGCAAGCATGCGAAAGACAGGTACTCCAAGGAAACGATGCAAACGTAACCGTGGAAGTTGCGCAAGAGCCTGGGCATCAAGGAGGAGCTTAAATACTTGCCTCCAGCAGTGTAGTCGTGAACTTCATCGGAGCTTTTGGGAAGGTCTGAAGGTCTGCACGTGACCGCGAGGACCAAACGCGACATACCTCAGCACCGAGCGCTTGGTGCTGCTCATGGACATCGCAGATGCCATCATTACGAAGCCAGGCCAGGCGCCACAAGTTGCAGACAGCACGCAACACATTCGGAGCGTCCGCCCTCAGCTCCAAGGGGGTGGGACAACGGCCGAGATCTCTTATCGGGGCCTGCCTGTTCAGCCCTCAGCTTGTATGACACGGAGATCTGCGACATCGGCACTGCTGTGTGTTGTTGACTGTGCTGGTTTGGGCATGTGAGTCGTTTGTTTCCAAGTTTATGGTTGCTAGATTGATGCTCTGATGTATTTGCAGTTTCAATGAAGTGAGTGGCTGTGGGCATTATCTACCATTCAGGTGGCATCGAAGGAAGAAGCACCGTCAGCCTGCCCCATCCAGCTTCGTTGCGGCCTAGGCGGTGTTTGATGCAACGCGCGGGCTCCTCCACTGGGAGGACGCCGTAGATCGAAGCTGCTGCTTCACTGCAGCAGTGCAAGGCTGCCAGGCTCAGTAGTCGGAGTTGGAAGGAAGGGTTCCTCTCAGAATTTCCTTGCTTTGCTGCTTTGCCTGAAGCTCGAGGAGTTCACTGTTCATGCTTTCGAGCAGCAAGGCTGGCTTGGGTCGGTCGTAGTCTTTCCGGACACGCCTTGCGCTTTTGTCCCATTTCTCCAATCCACTCCGACCGTCTTTTTCAAGAACCACAGAGGCCGTGGGGAGCGCTTCGTGTGGCCACAGCAGCTGGGACAGGCAGGCGCAAGCGCGCTTTGTGCTTGCTTTGTGTGCACCGCCTCCGCACCTCCGAGTAGGGCTTAGCGGGCTCCTTCCCACTGACGCCTTGGAGGAACCTCGCTAATCGGGGAGCCTGGAGCTAGTGAGCAAGTGATCTCGAGAGGGAGCATGAGTCGGAGCTTCCGTGATCTCGGAGAGTTTCGCCGCCAGCAACATGAAACATTTGCAATCAGACGAGCGCCTAAAGCTACAACATCCAGGAATCCAGACAAGCCAAAGAAAAGAACCAAAGCTTTATCCATCCTGTCGCATTTCGCTTGTATCACAGGTCTTGTCCACAGCTCTGAAGCGGCCAAGATCGTCATCGTTGGTTGAGGACGAGACCGGAGAAATCAAGAAGATTTAGAAATAGCCTTCAAGCCTTGGGCTTCTCCTGCTGCGTCGTCCTTCGTAAGTTTGGGCTCTGCTATCAGTGGCACAAGCGTTGCGAGCAAAACTGGAAAGGACCCGGCAAATCCGGGCCATGTGCTCGACCCAGGGCAGCTCGGCAGGAATTGGAATTGCTGATTACGGTGATTTGGAAACTGCGGATGGTTGCAGTTGCAGGTCGGTGCTGTAAAGAACACTTGCTCCGGCTCTTTCTGAAAGATGTTTCACAGGCCCTGCATCGTTGCAGAAGCCGAGAAGCTCATGGTCGCTTGCTTGCAACAAAGCCGTCAGGAGGTACTTGAAGAAACCTGCTTGACTCGTGCGATTTCGGATGAACAACTTTGAACACGTTTCATGGACGGCTCGTGCTACGAGGGGGACAGAATCTGGCATGGACACAACCTTTGAGGAAGTTCCATGCCATCAATGCAAGCTTTTCTCGGACAACCCTGACAACACGTGAGAGCCTGTCATATACGACCAGAACGGGCCAAACCATTGGGCCCGACTACTTTTCGGGAATGGCTCGAATTTGCACAAATAAAAGGTATTATTAAGAATTATAGACATCCAAAATAAGATAATTGATATAATTAATATTATTTTTCAATATTATTACACGGCCAAAGAATTATTAATAACTATATATAGATATTTAATATGAATGAATACATATAATTATTAGTAAAAATATAAATATAGATATATATTTAAATATATAAATAAATATAAATATATATATATTTCTTTTTTAATACTCAGATATATAGAATACCTAATATATATATCGTTACCAATAAGGAGATATATATATATTTATAAAAATATATTCTTGAATTATTTTTTTTATAAAAATAAATATATGTAAAAAAAGAGAAATTTTATAAGATACGAGAAATAATAATAGATGAATATTCGATAAAACAA